TCGTACGACGGTAGGTAGCTTTTTTTTCTTGCAATGTTCTTGTTTATTTTTTCTTTTTTTCTTTTTTTCTTATTCAATTTATATAATTTTTTTTTTACTCAGCGATTAATTCGATTGAAAATTTTTATAATTTAAATGTTTTTCTGATGAAAGATATCAAGATTGAAAAGACATAAGCGAAAAAATTGAATAATAAATTCCCAATTCACTTTTTCTCTATACCAAAGTCAGTAGAATAAAGAAAAAATAAAATAAAATAAAATAAAAATTCTTTTTAGTTCTTAAAATTTAAATTTTAATAATACTGTAATAATAATATGAATTAATATCTTCTAAAATATTTTAATTATTTTAAATTTAATTATGATTTTTTTTAATTTTTTGGATTAAAAATATAAATATGATGAAAATTAGAATATCAAATTATAAAATTTTAATTAATTGAATTCCTTTTTTTTAAATTGTGTTCGAATTAAATATTTAATTAATCAGTTACTTTGTTTTTAATTATTATATTTTCTTCTTTAAAATTAATTATTTTAAATAAAATCGGTAATGAAATTTTTTTTAAATAAAAATTTATGATTAATTTGCTTACATTTAACAATGAACGAAGATTAAATTAATTTCTTACTCAAACTTTCTTTGTAATTATTTCATTATTAATTCTAAATTATTTAAAATATATGCTCTCCACCTGAAATTAATAGTGGCTTGCTCCTGTACATCATGCTTTTCCTTTAACAATAGAGTCGTGCCGGTCATCTAACCCCTTTCAGGGGAAAATTTTCATATCTGGTCGCGACTTTCATTTACAGGTCTACAATTTTTTGAAATTGCAGCCCAATTACACTATTTAGGGCCTCCCATAAATTGCGTAACGCAAATATGGGAGGTGGTATGCAGCCAATCATTACGAAGCGTTACAAAGATGGGGTATTTACGTAACATTACATAATGTTAGGGTCTTTAAATCATCTAATTATGTAGAGATTAAGCTACACCAATATCTTTTTGGACACTTTTCAGATTTGGCCATAATTTTTGTTGTCTAATTCGCCAAAAAAACGTTGCTTAGTGAACTGAACTGTACTGTATACGTCACTGCTTCGTACGTTATACATCTAATTAATTAAATAGCATAATGTTCGGTACTCGTGCTGTGTATTAATCCTTAGTATTGTAGAATTAATAAGGTTGCTCGAGGATATGCGTTACGTAATTTTGAGGGTATGTGTGACATATGGAGCGTTAAAAGGGTAGGATAGTAGTTGGAACGTATAAAAATAGCGTTACGTAATTTATGGACGATCTCTTCAGTGGTGGTATTTTTTTTATCTTAAAATTTAGTTAAAAAAAACATGTTTAAAATTAATAAAGAGTGTGTAAAATATACAAATTTTCTTTAAAATAATACTTTTAAAAATATTGATTGAAAGATTATAAAAATAAAAATTGATAAAGCTTCATCTACGTTTACACTAATTTTGTTAATTAATCTTTCTGCATTATTGTTATTATTATTGTTATTCGAAAACGTTTCATTAAAATACATTTAAATATATTATTTCAAATACTAGTTTGATAATTGATTATCAATCATCAATAAGGAGTAGTTAGAACGATAATTAATTGAGCTGATAATTAATTTCTAAATCAATCAAATTAGATTAATTAGTTAACATACATTAATTGTGATTTGAGAATTATTGTCAAAAAATTAACAAGTGTATTCATATCAAATATATTTATTGGATTTAATTATAATCGCGAGTTTAACAGAACATATAAAACATATAAGAATATTACTAAAAATTTAAAATTATTTCTTGAAATATTTAAAATATATTACGTATATAATTAAATTTATTTAATTTGNCTTTAAATTTAATAAACTCTGTGTTAACATACTCGAACCACCGATATTAATATCATACATAAAGAAGTAAACATCATTATTAATTTATTAAAAATAAAATTAATTTTCCTATCTTATATTATTCATTAAATTAAATTACTTCCTCATAAATGAAGTTTAGAATTATTTTTCTTTTTATATACTGTATACAAACAATGTTCCTTATAGAAATTTAGCACGATACATCGTTAAAAACTTTCTTAAATATGTTTACTAAAAAAAATAAAAGTTACTTGTATAAACTATACTTTAGATATTTAAAACAAAATACACATTTTGCAAATACTTAGATGCAAATTCTTTTTGATGAGATGTTTTTAAATAGAAAATACTCTTAAGAGTTTATGATACGATTAAGAAAATATACTCCATGTTTTTTTTTAATCTGATGGAATAATGAAATTTTTAATGATATACAATCTGTTTTATCTTAACGATTTCTCAAAATTAAACATATATATATTCTTTTTTATACGTTAAAGTTCACATTAATAACGTTTTTAATAAAAGCTCTCTTATAGTTGCTTTATTATTATTATTCCTTTATTCGTGTTTAAAAAATAAGCATAGATTTTATGTAAATATTATTTACGTGAGTTATATTATCTATAATTTCTATAAAATACAAATTTTATTTAGTGTTATGCATGGGCATTCGCAGAAAAATTTCCGGGGGCAAAGCTTGGAGGCAACTAATAAAATCAATAAATTTTTGGGGTTTTTTTTTCCACAAGTAGATTGTAAAATACCGTATTGCATCAATAAGAATAGGCAGGCAAAACGCTCCATGGCTCAAAGATCCTATGGGCAGAAACAGATCTATATATATATATAGATCTGTTTTATTATTATTATGGCCTGAGGTTCCTGCTAACAAGGGGCCTCAAACCATTCTTTTATTTAAAAAAATATTTCCCTCAAAAAACTGTCTGGAATAAAAATGTCTGAAGTCAACATTGTACACGTAGCCCCCTAATTTATATTTGCCTGGTCCTCATGAAGATTTAATGCGCTATTGTAAGGTTACATATCTTAATTACTTTCACTATTATAATTTGTGGCATTTTTTACTCGATCCAAGAGTGGGGCAAGTGTCCGTTTGCCCCCTCTGCGGATGTCCTTGGTGCTATGTTACTTTTACTAGCAATTCGTTTCATTTATACGAATGGATATTAGGATGTTACACCTTAATCCTCTTCCAATTAGCCAGCATCATTAAACAATATTTATATAGAAATATAAGCTAAGAAATTAGTGTTTAAAGAAAGATATGTTAAAAAATGTAATTTATATAAATCATAATTTCCTTAAAACAATATTATATTGGAAAAAATGCATTTTAAAACAATTACTCAAAAAGAAAATGTCCAATTTGCATAATAAAATATTCTTATTTTTATTATTAATTAAAGTTTTCTAGTACTTTAACGTCATAAGTAAATTATAAATAAATCTTTAGATTTATAAATAACCAATAATAATGACTAATATAAACAGTATTAATGTATAGAGCAACCGGAATTGCGTATTATAGAACTAGTTTGTAATTCTTTAAATCATTTCCATAAATAACTCTTGTAAAAAAATTAATATGAATTTATAAGTTAATTTGCCAAATTTATTCGTATAACATGTCTGGTTTAGTATTTTTTAGAATGAATAGAGTTAAATATCAACTGGAATAACCTTTAAAGTTAGTTATTCAAACTCATAATAAAAACTAATATAACTTTCTAATAAATAAACTAATTTTAAATAAAAACTGTATTTATCTTAATTATACGATTATATTCTATGAATATCTTCATTACAGAGCTGTATTTTGTTATATGAATATTATAGTCCCTACAGATTGACTCGTAAACTATATAAACTCAGACATATATATCAACATTATTCTTTTTTAATCAAATGTAACTTGTAGCCCCTATAGATAAATGTATAGTAGAATTAACACAGTAAATTAAAGCAAAAAGTTCGTCAATCTCATACACTTTCCCCTTGTATTTTGTATTTAATATAAAAATACAAAGAGCAAAAATTCAAAAATATAGTAAATTTGTTCTGATTCAGAAGGTGAAAAATATAGCGCCTTATATAGGTGCGTATTTATATATATATATAGATCAGTTTTATTATTACAGGTATAAAAAAGACAGGTCAAGACAACCTGAAGAATGAAACGAAGATAAGCTGGAGAACCGTTAATTAATTGAGGAAGGAAATTAGTTCAAGGTGTTATTCTAAAAATATTCTTCCTAAGCATGAATCCCGTTCATCATTTGGAGGCCGACAATTGTGTTAAACTTGACCCATTTTATCTCGCGGCGTCACTAAGGTCATCTCGAATCGTCTGGAGAATGTGCCCCACCTCCACAATGCTTCTTCAAGGTTTGGATTCAACCTTCAAAGTCTTAAAATTGGGTTACTGTACGATTGGCCGGAAACCCCGTTTAGTATATAAAGGGTGGTCATTTGTTTGAACGCATATCGAGTTTGGATGCCTACTTCGCCAACATCCAAAATCATGATTAAGTTTGTAAGTATTACTTTCTGGTAGGAAAAAAAATGTCTCAAATATCTTGTACGAGTGTATAAAAATGATTTTTCTTAAAATTTACAGATTATATTCGCCATTTTTGGCTTAACCGTACAAGCTCAACAGTATCAGCAGCAGCAGCAGTACACTCCATCTCAGCAGCAATTTAATTTGCCCGAGCGAAGAAATTTGCATCCACCAGCACCCGTCCACTATGTCAATATAGGTCAACAACTTCAGGGTGATTATAAATTTGGTTACGACACCGGAAAAGGCCCTCTAGGGCAAAGTTTTCGTGAAGAAACAAGGCTTCCCGATGGTACTGTAAAGGGTGCTTATGGTTATGTAGATGCAGAGGGTCGCCAGCGAATCATTAAGTATTCCGCCGGAGAAACCGGTTTCACCGCCGAGGGTGACTTAGGAGCACACGGTGCTAAGGGAGTAGCACCGGGCCCAGCACCCCAACCAGTGCAACCCGTGCACACAGCACCACAACAATACAGGCCTCCTCCTCAACAGCAATATAGTCCTCCTCCTCAACAGCAATATAGTCCTCCTACACAACAGCACTACAATCGACCCGCGCCGCAGCAATACAGACCAAGACAAAACTATGAAGAAGATTATAACAATGGACCAGCCTTCATCGATACCAGTTTGCTTACTTATAATATCGGAACATCCAGAAACAATGGTTAAGCTCCAACTGTGATATTAAAACTTTAAAAAAAACGCGTTTGCTCAATATCATTACAAATGATGTTGTTTAATAAAATAAAATTGTTTTAATGTAAGAAAATTTTAGAACTTATTTTCTTATTTGTTTAAAACTCTCCACTAAAATTCACTAGATGGCGTCAAGTTCGACAGGGTACCATCATCAAAATTTCAACTTTTATGGCATTAAATGCTGTAAATCAGGCTCAAGTATAGATCGATGCAGTTAGTTCTCTTGCTGATAAAAGAGCTAAAGCTTATAAAGGCGAAGGAAGAGGTAATACAGAGCGATCATGTTTAAAATATTTATCATGTATATATCATGGTTAATTTAATTTATGATTAAATTTTGCTCTAAATTTCATTGTAAAATCTGTAGTAAGCTATATACAAAAGAATTTCTATACGGTGCTGTATCGATCTGGAGTTTTCCATTTGCCTTTCCTTACAAGTAAAGTTACAAATAACTTTTTTCCATGAAAAAAGAACACATACACAATAGAAAACACCTGCATATAACATTTCACTTTGGCTCCTTTATCAAGAATATTATTTCTCTCAAGAAAAAGGGATACAATGTGAATTCTTTCAGTTAAACTTTAATAAATCCTACATACTTAAATAAATTTTATTATCGTTTAATGTCGATTGTACAGTACAGTACAGTACACTTACTTTCACATATAAATAAGTACAATGAGCAATTTTATATTAAAAACAATAATTAATAAATGATCCGAAGACTTCCAACTTATAATATTGATACTAAGGCTAATTATCCGAAAAGCCGACAATTCATAAAATATAATTTAAGGTTTAGGACGTTGTTATTTGTGTAGAAATTTTAAATTTCGGTTCATTTTTCCTTCTTTTTTTAATACCCAAAATGTCATTTTTGTTTATCTCGAACGATCCAAACGATGTCACACTTGGTGGGTCTTGCCTAACATCATTACGTAGATAGGATGGGAGTAATGTAGGGGCGTGACTAACAACGTAAACACGTTACGACCGCTTTGGTAAATGGAAAGTCGGGATGATGACGTTAGAAGGATTGTTGCTGATCAACCGTTCACGTGTAATACTTTTCGCATCGTTGAAAACACACAACTCCCTAAATTTTTCTTTTATCATCTCCCTTCCAAACTAAAAATCGATATGTAATTTTTACTTTCGACTAAACCGAATGATAATTACTATAACATCAATTACTTCCCCTACTTGCTCAATTGGAATTTTACATCACTTATTAATTATTAAAATTCTATATAAAATACGATTTCTTAGAAAATTTTAAATGTTCTGACGATTTTTAAAATAATTTTTATGCGTATTTGAAAATAAATAAATAAATAACATATAGTTTTTTTCCTTAGAAATTAAGTTACAACAAAAATACGATCATTTAACTTTACTGTGTCGTCTATATTCTTTTATGTATAGCTTAGTTTAAAATTGGTGTAATAACTTACTTTAAAACAATATATTTAAAGATTTATGATTGAAAATATTTCAATATTAATAGGATAAAATACAGTTTTCCTCAGCTTAGTCAATATAATGGTGGCTACAAAATAACAGTACTAAATCAAAACAGGATATGTTATATAAAAAGAATGTTTAAAAATTCTATAAAATTGATTTTATAATAAATTTTTTTCTTTTTTCTTTTTAATTTATAACAATAATTATTTTCATGAGTTTTGTATTTTAACAAAATTACGTTAACTTTATTAATCTATAAATAAATAAATTGAAAGAAATTATTGACTTGCGTACATGCAGTTTTTTTCTTAATCTTACATAAAAATCTGTCTGTGCTTTCAGGGGGGGGTGAGAACAGTCCCATCACAAACACGACCACACTAGCAACGGGGGGAAGGGGAATGACCCGCCATATTCGAGCCACACCACTCGTGAAAATTTCGATTATCCGGTTCTAACTTCAATAAACTTTCGCCTTATCCTCATTGATCATACGCTTATTCTTTTTTCTTAAATTTTATTATAATTTCTTATTTAAATTTAAAAAATCTATATTATAACGAACAATTCCACACTATTATTTTAATTTTAAATTATGTTTCAATATAAGAAATGTATTGAAGAAGTTTGCATTCAACGACTTACAAATTAACTAATACACAATTAATGTTAATTTTGAATAGGTTTTATATAGTAAAATAAGTAATATAATAATATTACAATATTAAATTTTAAAAATAAATTTGTAAAAAAAATCTAATATATAATTTCGAAAAAAGCATAAAAAGTTTGATAGACATGTAATGGGTACTTAAGTAAGTTAATTACCGTAAACTCTCTTAGTATAATTATAATATATCATGTTAATTAAACAAGTGTAGAAAATTATAAAATTAAATCGTGAAGAATTTTATTATTTTATTATTTTTATTACAATAAAAAAATTAATAATAAAAAACATTTAGCATTCTTTTTCCGTTAACTGAACTAAAGAAATGTGTCACACTCATCAAGTGTTAAGTTCTTGTGTAAAATTCATACGAAATCGAAATGTTACAGTTCAAGTAACAGAATAGATTAAAAATTGTTTTCGTGTTTTAAATTACAAAGATGTAAAAATTCGTACCTTTTAGAGAGAAAGTATTTTAATCGAATTTAAAAGTCAAATATTTTCCATTTAAAGTTTCTAAATTTAATATATTTATTTATTTATTTATTTATTTTAAACTTATAAAATCAAAAGTTTTTCGTTGTTTTTTTTTCCTACAGATTAATTTTTTCAAGCAGATTAAATGACAGAGAATGGTGATCTTTTGCTTGATAAAACTAGCAGATCTTTACTTTGTTAAAGTAGAATAGATGGGATGGATTTTTTTCTTCAGGGTTATTTCTCTTATTTTTATTTATTTAATGGCATCTTCTAACAAATGGTACCGCATATTAGCTTCAGGAGGTTTCTGATAGATACTCGATTTTCTGATGGTTCCTTTTTTTTTCTATCTAGTAGATACTCTTAATAAGATATGAACACTTTTAAATATATTTTCAACAAAAAATCTGACGCATTAATATAAAAAAATGTGTTTTAATAAGATTAAAAATTCAAAAGATAATTTTTTTTTATGGCACGTTAAATATTTCTTTTCTATTTTTAAACGATTTAAATATACGAATTATTTTTTATTTAGTTCAATAATAGCTTGGATAATTAGTTAATTAATATCTATAATCCTGCATTGAAACAAGTTAAGGAATAGAACAGATTAAGAATAATTTATGTATTAATTTATTAAAATAAAGCGAAATATGTATGATACGTATATATTGCATATATTTTAAATATGGTGACTTTAATTAAAGTGCCCCTATTTAATGCTAGACCCCACCAAATCGGGTAAGGTGACATTTCTGTAAAAAATTAGTACCAAAACTCGCCATTACGGCAATTTTGGCGCTGCAAGCGACAAAAGGAAAACACTTTTATTTGTAGGGATACTTAAAAAGTTTTATTTATCGAGGACATGTTGAAAATTTTGGCAGCTTTAAAAAGCAGTGTCATACATATGACAAACATTACAGAGGATCAATTACGATCGCACGTTGAATAAAGGTGTGGAATACTCTTTGCATCTGTATAGCATGAATGTATTGTTTAAATAAAATGCTTTTGCTTGTAGCGCTAAAGTTGCCATAGTGACGAGTTTCGGTAGTAGGTTTTTTTCCTTTGATTTAAACCGTAAAGTCGCGTATCCTGAGATGCCACCTTACAAATTAGCTAGCATTTAGACTGCTAAATATCCCTCTATACAACTTTGAATAGGGGTAATTCAATTACGTTCACTCAATATTTATAAATTATTCTGTATTAAAATAATATTTATTCAAAACCTAATAATATTACAGAATTAAAATGTTAAAATTAATATAACTTTCGTTTATTTTTAAAATTTAAAAATATAAATTTTATTGATATTGACTCATACATAATTTGACTGTTTCTGTTTTCAATTCAGGTTCATACATATTAACCAATAATATATTCTATTTATATTAATATAGAAAGTTAAAAAAAGTATGTTAGTTTTACATAAATATATAATCATAAATTTTAATAAGTGTTTCTATAAAAATTAATGAAATTTAATATTTATTTTTNTTTTTCTTTTTTTCTTATTCAATTTATATAATTTTTTTTTTACTCAGCGATTAATTCGATTGAAAATTTTTATAATTTAAATGTTTTTCTGATGAAAGATATCAAGATTGAAAAGACATAAGCGAAAAAATTGAATAATAAATTCCCAATTCACTTTTTCTCTATACCAAAGTCAGTAGAATAAAGAAAAAATAAAATAAAATAAAATAAAAATTCTTTTTAGTTCTTAAAATTTAAATTTTAATAATACTGTAATAATAATATGAATTAATATCTTCTAAAATATTTTAATTATTTTAAATTTAATTATGATTTTTTTTAATTTTTTGGATTAAAAATATAAATATGATGAAAATTAGAATATCAAATTATAAAATTTTAATTAATTGAATTCCTTTTTTTTAAATTGTGTTCGAATTAAATATTTAATTAATCAGTTACTTTGTTTTTAATTATTATATTTTCTTCTTTAAAATTAATTATTTTAAATAAAATCGGTAATGAAATTTTTTTTAAATAAAAATTTATGATTAATTTGCTTACATTTAACAATGAACGAAGATTAAATTAATTTCTTACTCAAACTTTCTTTGTAATTATTTCATTATTAATTCTAAATTATTTAAAATATATGCTCTCCACCTGAAATTAATAGTGGCTTGCTCCTGTACATCATGCTTTTCCTTTAACAATAGAGTCGTGCCGGTCATCTAACCCCTTTCAGGGGAAAATTTTCATATCTGGTCGCGACTTTCATTTACAGGTCTACAATTTTTTGAAATTGCAGCCCAATTACACTATTTAGGGCCTCCCATAAATTGCGTAACGCAAATATGGGAGGTGGTATGCAGCCAATCATTACGA